TCTTTCACTTTTCATATTCAACTATCTTAGTTATTATCGCCCCTCCCACAAAAACAGAGAATTCTTGATTACTGGAGATGTAGCAGATAAATAAACATATGTCTCAACTTAAAAAAAAAATTGCAAAATCTTGAAGAAGGAACTTAAAAAAGATCTAAATACGTGGAAATGTCATCAACTCTGCAATTTCTCATAATTTCTTACCCTGAATATTTGCCAAGTTATTTTATTTCTGCCATAGTTCTTATTGGAGAGCACTTTTTTTTTTTAAAAGATTGCAGTATATTAATTGCATGAAATAGTCTAGCTGCTGCAAGGATGCTGGAAAGGAAGGCATCCTTGCTTGTTGTTACTGGTTCAAAAAATCAAAATATTTTGATTTGAGACAGAGAGCGTCTCTCTGGGCTCTTGCCTCTGCAGTACGTTGCTGGGCGTCACTGTGAGGGGATCCTGGAGGAGGATGATTGTCTCAGCTTGCAGGTGACTCTTGAGGAGTACACTGTTGCCTAGAAATTGAACCTAGCTTCTCGTTTCCTGTGTACTGCTACCAGAGAGCGGTAAGCTTACCCATCTTTTATTCATGTCTCTCAAATCCTTCCACAACTCTGTCTTCTCAGCTTGATCTCACAATGCTTGTCTTGACCTGATTTTATTTTAAAAGCATTGAAACTATAGGAACCGCCAAAAGAAATGATATAAATGTACCAAAAGTAGAAACATTTAGCCCACATCTCTTAATCCAAGGCAGAGAAAACATAAAATGAAAATAGACAACACTTAGAATTACAACCTGTGACACAGAACCTACATCAAATTGGGCATAGAAAGAAATGCATCTTATTTTCAAGTGCTCAGGAAACATTAGGGGAAATTGACTAAATCTTCAACCCCTCTCAATAAAATGCAAATATCAGGAATTATTTAAAAAGCATTCTCTTTTTAGTAAGGCAATAAAATTAGAAATTAATCATAATTTTAAAAGGTCCTTCAACATGCACATTTTTGATAATTACAGACAATTTAAAAATTTTTGGGTTAAAAGAAGAAATTAAAATGGTAGATTTTCCCAAGAAAAACCAGGCCCAAGTTGTAAAATGATTATGTAACTAAGTGCTTCTTGAAATTAACCAGGGTAAATTCATGTTCACTTTGAAATCGGTGGACTATGCTACAAAAGCCCAGCTATTCTAACATGTAAGTGACACGCAATGTCTCTTTTCTTTCTTACATTTTCAGATGATTAGTTAGTTTGGCTTTGGACCATCCTCCACTGCTTTCCCAGGCCACAAGCAGGGAACTGGATGGGAAGTGGAGCTGCCAGGATTAGAACTGGTGCCCATATGGGATCCTGGCACATTCAAGGCGAGGACTTTAGCTGCCAGGCCATGGCGCCAGGCCCAATTTTATCAAACTTTAAAAAAAATATTTTAATTAACCTATTTAATAGTTTATGCCTCCAATCTCAAATTTTTTTTCTTAAATTTATGCATTTCTTTATGGCTTCAAGGTTTTTCTTTTGTTTCTTGAGGTACATGCTTGAATAACCTGCTTGCAATTTCTTTTCTAAGTATATATTACTGGATGTTTGCTTCTAAGCGCTGCCTTTGTGGTACCACAAAATTTCACTAACCTGTATTGTTGCTTTTATTTGCTTCAACTTCTTTATTATCCTTGAGAATTATTATCCTGCTGAGGGATCATTCACAAATGAATTTCAAAGGTCACATGCTTGAAGATTCCTGTTTCTTTTCTTTTATTGATTTTCACTTTAATCCAGTTATGCCCAGAGAATATACCTTGTGTGATTTTGATATCTTTATACTTATTCAAATTTATCTTATGGTCTAGAATCTGGTCTAGTCTGGTGAATGATTTTGCATTTCAAAAGAATACATATATGTTGTGGTTATTGGGTAGAGTGTTTACAAAGGTGAAGCGGATTTAGTTGGATAGAATGTGGGCTCTCTCCGTCGTTGGTTATTTTCTGACTACCAGGGCTATCTCCTGGAAGGAGGAGGGTTGCAGTTTCCCTCCTTTCTTTAGTAACAGAACTTACAAATCACAGTGAGGATTTTGCTGCTTCACTAGCCAGCACATGCTTAGCTTCATTGCACCTAGTTCTGTGCTTCAGTCCCGACACTGAGATGTGAGTGGAAGCGATGCAGGTCCCCACTTTTTCATACCAAGAAAGGAGACTATTTTGTTTGTGTTCTTTACCCTCATGCTAGGAAGGAGCAAGAGCTAAGGCAAAGCTAGCTCCGTACCATATTGGAAATCATATGCTGGGAACGGCAGATTAGCTCTGCATTATGCACCTCTGAACTAGCTTGTAAGAAGGCAGGTATTTAGTTTCAGATCACTCTGTTATTGTGACTTAGCTTGTATACTGCTAGATAAAAATATTAGAAGAGATAAATTTGATTCACCCATTTCTTAAATGTAAAATTCATAAATGTACCTTCAGTAAAAATAAATTGCTGAATCATTTTAGAATTACATATCTATGTGGATAGATGAACAATAAGATCTCAGGTTCGGGGCCCAGCACGGAAAATGTGAGAAAGTTATTTATTACTTATGTATAAATAATGTAATTATTTTTTTAAAGTATGTAAAGATAATAAATTCATGTTGGAAGGTCAATGTAAGGAAGTTCGAAGTGACATGAGAACAAGAAAACTACACCCAAGGTGTTTTCTTTACAACTGCCAACATCTTACTTAAAAATTTTTATACTAAGTGTATTCATTTGAGAGACAGAGAAAGTGAGAGAAAGAGACAAAAAATTTCCCATCTGCTGGTTCCTCCCCAATGCCCACCACAGCAGGGGCTGGCAAAGGCAAAAGCTGACAGCCAATAGCTCCATCCAAGTCTCCTGCATGTGTGCCAAGAATCCAACTTGTTGAGCCACTCCTAACTTCCTCCCATGGTGCATGTGCGCAGGAAGCTATAACTGTGAGTGGAGCTGGAACTTGAAGCCAGATACATTGATACTGGCTGTGGGTATTCCTAACAGCATCCCATTTACTAGGCTCAATCTGCCCCATAGTTTATTTCGGTTTAAAAATACTTAGGTAAATCAAACGTAATTTTAAAATTTGACAAAACTGTGTAGTAAAAATACACACTTGCATTACACTTCTCTAAATTTTTAAAAAATACTTCACTATGAAATAATGACTAAAATTAAACTTTTCATGGAGAAAATGCTATTTGCTTCAAAATATAGATTGGGTTATATGCAGTCACATCTTATGGAGCTGTATTAGTTTTACATTGCCATTTTCACAAATTGCCATATGGATTAATGACTTAAAACTGCAAAAGTTTATTATCTTAGATGTGGGGGTCAACAATCCAAAATTGATCTCAAAGAGCTAAAGTCAAGGTGTCAGCAAGGCCACCTTTCTCGTTGGATCTATGGGAGAGTCACTTTTCACTCTTTCCAGCTGCTAGAGGCTGCCCACATTCCTTGGCTCACGGTCTGTGTTGGTCTTCAAGGTCAGTCATGACCACTCCAGTCTTTCTCATATCTTACACTCTTACGCTGAATTTTCTGCTTCTCTCATAAAGATTTCCAGCTTACCTTGGATCCACCTAGATATTCCAAGATGGTTTATTTTAAAGTGTCTGATTGCCGGTTTTAATTTCATCAGCAGCTTTGGTTCTAACCCTTGCCTTAAGCATAACATGTTCGCAGATTCTAGGCATCAGGACATCTTTGGGGGACATTATTCTGACTACTAGTGGGTTCATCAGTATTCTCCATTTACAAGCAATGGAAATGATCTCTAACAAGACAGCAAATTTACAAGATGATAAAATTACTGAAAAGCTGGATAATTTTGTATCGGAAAGGACATGAAATCTGGGTAGAAGATGATTAGCAATCTCTTTTAATGAACACTATTGCCTTGACTAATCAACTCAACACACTTTTTCTTAGGCTAATCAAGAGCCGGATTCCAAAGGAGAGAGACCCTATAACTGATCTGTAATGCGTTGTGTTTTTTTTACCCAGAGATGGGATGATGACCTTGATTTAGAAAAATCTTCCATGATGGAAGATTACCACAGAGGAAGCTTATTTAGGCAGGTGAAAGCAGAGATTCTCTTTGTCCTAAAGAAAAGCATCTTGGGTGGTAAAAACAAAATCAGTGCCATCCAATCTGTGGTGGAACCCTAATAATTCGGATGTTTTATGAACCAATGTAGCCTGACAAGTAAGTAAATGTAAATAGTGTGAGATTGTTTCTCAGTGACCAAATGAAGTTATTCATTAAGTGAGAAAATATTTTAGGATAGAGGAACAATAAGGCCTCAGGATAGGGGCCCAGCACGGTAGCCCAGTGGCTGAAGTTCTCACCTTACACGCACCGCGATCTCATATGTGCACCAGTTCTAACCCTGGATTCCCTGTTTGTAACCCTGGAAAGCAGTAGAAGATGGCCAAAAACCTTGGGACTCTGTGGGTATGTGGGAGACCTGAAAGAGGCTCCTGGCTCCTGGCTTCGGATTGGCTCAGCTCAAGCCATTGCGGCCATTTGGTGAGTGAATCAACAGGCAGAAGATCTTCCTCTCTGTCTCTCCTCCTCTCTGTATATCTGACTTCCTAATAAAAATAAAATAAATCTTTTTTTAAAAAAAAGTTGTATATCATATGGAATACTACTCAAAAATAAAGATAATAACTTTGCTAATAAATGCATTATAACATTAGCTTCAGACATACATTTATGGTACAATAGCTAAAAACAAATCATAACTGGTTATTCCTTCTCTTTTGTATTAAATGCTTAACTTCTGGCTAGTGACAGACTATTCTGTTTCCTGGAAATCAATGATTCCTTCACATCCTTAAGCAGGGAGGCAATACCCAAGATTCTCTGTAACTACACATCGAATAGGCCCTGTACCACAAGTCAGACTAACGGCACACAGACAACCCCAGAAACAGGTGCGCACAAAACCATCCTTATCCCATTCATCATTTTTGTCTGTCAGACTGCAATTTTCCATCTCATCATTATTTAGCAGGGATTTCGAACAGTTATTTATCCTAGCACATTCTCACCCAGAATATGGCCCATATGTATTTGCTAGGTGATTCGCAAAGCAAGGAACATAAAAGTCCAACATTCATTACAAACATACCATCTTTGAAGGTCAAAAGTGCTTACAACTTACCTACACAATAAAGATAAAAAGAATTCCTGGTCAGAACCACGCCTCAGGAATCCTGGAAGCCACATGAAACTCGAGCTGTGAATCTAAAAAGGAATGCAAAGCATTAGCAAGTACTATCAATGTACTGCCATCATTGCCTAGAAATATTTCCCCCTGGATTCTGAAACATCATCCGGTTTTATCTGGATTAGAACAGCTCTTCTGCTGCGTCTCTTGTTTTGCTGGCCTGTGGGATAGATGAGTCATTGCACCATCTGCGCTAAAGGGAAGAGACGTATGGCCGAAGAAAGCTGAATATTATCTGCGTAATGATGGCTCTGCAGTCCAAAATATCTCTTTCTCAATGTCCTCATCTACACTTAGTCTCTCTCCAACTCTAAATGAGGGGGTATTCTGCAAAAGCAGTTTCTGGCTACTTATTCCTATCTTTCTGTAAGTCAACATTTCTGAATATTTGGCAACAGAAACTGCAGTCACCACTGACTTTTCAAAGGTTTGTCAATGGCTGAGAAGATGAATTAAAATGACTTAGCAAAACCTGCAGCGCCTTATTTCTTGAAATGCCATTTGAAATGCTGAGGAAGCCACGCCTACAAAGTGAGGTCATCACTTGCAAAGATAAAGCTAAAATCTGAGTATGGGTAGAATTAGGGTTACTGTACATATTTAACAGTCAGCAGAGACAAGCGAGACAGAAAGAGGTCTACTGCTCACTTGTTCACCCCCCCCAGATGGCTGTAGCAGTCATGGTTTGGCCAGGCCATAGCCAAGAACCAGAAGGTTCTTCTGAGTTTCCCACATGGGCAAATAGGGGCCCAAGCATTTGGGATTTTTCTGCTGATTTTCCAAGGCCATTAGCAGAAAATTGAGTTGGAAATGAAACACCAGAAATTCAAGATGGTACACGTATGGGATGCCCACAGCTTTACCAACCATGCCATAGTACCTACCGGTCATTACTTCAAGTTTTCAGTTCTTTGTATGTGAATGTGTGTGTGTGTGTGTGCACCTGTATGCCTAATCACTTGTGTAGATCCTGCTAGCAAAAGGATATAAAGCTGAAGAAATAAACATTTTATGCTCTGTTGTTAGATGACACAGAGCAAAAATGCAGGCCATCCGTAGAATACTTACATAATCCTAGAAATGTAAGACTTACATTGAAAATGTCATGATCAACTCTCACTTTTCTGCAGTTTCTGTCATAGACAATTAAGATATTTGACCCATTGCTCTATATTGCTATAACTTTTTCATATATTTTGTTCACTATTTTTTTTATTATTTTAAATATAGTCAAGGAATTCAGTTATTTGAAAAAACAATGCTAACTACAAGAACAGTCTAAGAGTTATACTAACAAGCATTACTAAGGAAAGTGACAAGGGCTTTGACAAATCTGGTAATCAAGGTATATGACATCGTGATATAATATTAAAAACCTATGTGTAAAATATATACATAATATATATTTGGTCTTCAATTTGATTCATGTGACACAGATCCTAAAACACTTAAAATTTCATTAGTTGTGCTAGGAGTATATTTTTCTTCCCTTTTTAAGTAAGATTTTATTTTTATTTATTTGAAATGGAGACGAGAGGGAAAGCAGGAAGAGAGAAAGAGAGAGATCTTCCATCCACTGCTTCACTCCCCATTGGCCACCCTGATAGGGGCTGGACCTGGCCAAAGCCAGGAGCTTAGAACTCCCAGTCTCCCACATATGAAGCAGGGGTCACAAACGTGTTAACAGCAAGCTGGATCTGAACAGAACAGTTGGTGCTCAAATCAGTGTTTCCATCTGGGATGCCAGCGATGCAGGCTTAACCTGTTGTGCCACAGCACTGGTGCCTGTAAGCTTCTTTTGCTCCAGTATTGGTCTCTGGTTCATCAGAGACAACTCTCAGTGCTGGGTTTTAGGAGCACTTTTGTAATGAGCTCCTAGACAGCTTCAGGTAGGGGTTTAACCACAATCAAAAGTTAGGAAATCTTAGCTCCACCACTTTCTGCAGGAGGGAGAAAGGTGCAAGACATTGAGCTAAGAAAGGACTCTGTGTGTGTGTGTGATCCCTGCCACATGGATCTGTTGGTGAACACAGACCCTTTGCCTTGTGGGTGGTGCAGCCCGACTCTCCAGGATGCTTCTGAACCTGGCCCTCTGCACCCCTTCACCTGACTGTGCATCTAGATCTGCTCTGTCATATCCCTTATATTAAACCAGTAAACATGTTTCTGAGTTCTGTGAGCTATCATACCAGATCCTCAAATCTGAGGAGGGGGTTGTGGGCACCCTGCTTTGCAGCTGAGCAGGACAGGAAATGTGGGTCACCTGGGGCCCATTCCCGGTGAACAACATCTCACGTAGGGGGATTGTCATCTTGTGGGACTGTTGCATCTGATACTAACCCCAGGTACAGAGTAGCAGAATTGAACTGAAATGTAGGACACCCACCTGGTGTGGTAGATTTGATCATTGTGGAGGAAAAATTACATTTGGTCTCAAAGTGTTGAAAGTATTTGAATGTTGTGGAAAAGACAGTATGTTTTCTGTTTAGTTTCCTACACAAGTTATATAAAGGTACAGTTAATGAAACTGTCATGTTCAGTATGAAAAACAGATGACATAAGTATACAGAGTCTCAGATTTTTTACAACCAGAATGGATCTTGTAAAGATAGTGTAGTCCAAATATTTTATTTGGCAACAAGAATGATATGCTAACTTCTAGGCTGTAGAATTAGTCTGGAAGAATCAGATTACAAGTGAAATCCCAGTTCAATGTTCCTTTTTCCAGTATCATTTTTTTTAAATGTATTTATTTTATTGGAAAAGCAAATTTACAGAGCAAAGGCTAGACAGAGATTTCTATGAGAACTGATTCTAAATGTTGGATGCACAGCCAACTTCATCATCATCACCATCAATCAGTGACCATTGTCACTAATTATTGAACATTCACTTCATGCTGGATATTTTTCTAAGCACTAAGTGTCTCATCGAAATCTTTGTGGTAGGAGCTAGTGCAATCCTGATTTTACAAATGTAGAAATCAAGAATTAGGTCAGTCAAATCAGTAAAAAATACTGACTCTACATCAAACTTTTGCCATTATTTTCTGTTCTGGACAGAGCCATGAGATCCAGGACTCATGGGTAGATAGTGTAAAAGGGGAGGCTTCCCCCAACCCCAAAGTGGAGAGAGGCTTTATCTTAGTTAAAGAGGATATTTCTAACCTTCTACTTTTGATAATTCAGAGTTCAAATGAAGCCTTGGTTTGATGAGCTACCCAAATACTGTCTTGGGAAGGAATTTCTCCATTGGATAAGAAGCTGGATCAATCATAAGCACCTCTTCCCCAGCTCTAGGCATCTAGCCAGGTGACCCTGTACCTAGGCAAGTGTTAACACTGCTGGGAGGCTGGATTGAGGCAGCTGTCAGCATGCATAAATCCCAAGGCTGGGAATAGGCCTGGTAGGGGAACTCTGAGAAGCTGCAGCTTCCACTGGTGAGCACGAAAGTCAAGGCTATAGGCACATCAGGGTAAGCAAAGCTACAGCATCTACAAGCATGCATGTAGGCTGGGTCAGGCTATAGCACCTGCTGCCTAATGCTGAGACTGGGGTGGGCCATTTCAAAATGGGTCATAGCACCTGCTGGCACATGCAAGATCCAAGGCTAGGACAAGGCCTAGTAAGGAAGTCTCTAGGACTCCCTTGATGAGCCACTGCTTCCACGGGTCAAAGGTGAGAGCTGGAACTGGAAGCAGCCCAGGCCAGACTGGGCTAGGCTGCCACACCCGCTGGCATGACAGAGAGCCAGAATGGATGAGGCCAGCTGAGTTACACGAGAACACCATCCGGCAAGTGCTAGGAATTGAAATGAGTCATGTTAGGACAGAATATAGTATCCTCTGGGAGGTGCAAGATCTGGGGCTGGAAGCATGCCTGGCAGGGGAATGGTGTGTGCTTCCCTACTAGACTATCTCACCTGCTGGTGAGCAGAACCAGGGTTGGGGATGGGCCAGGCTGGATAAGGTACCAACACCTGTAGGTCTGCATGAAACCACATCACCCATGGATGTGCACGCGAGCTGGATGGGATGTGGGCTGGGCTGGGCTAAGCTGAAGCAGAGGCTGGCATGCACAAAAACGGGGACTGGAGGCAGGACTGGTGAGAGTTACTGGTGGTTGCCCCAACTAGGCTGCAGCACCTGCTGGTATGCATGAGGACCAGGTCTGTGGCAGGCTGTCTGGGCTGGGTCACAACACTTATATATTCACATGAGATATGGAGCTTGGTCATAACTGAGCAGGAGGCTACATCCACTGGTATGTGCATTAGCTGGTGCAGGTAAGAGACTGAGCCTGACCCTGCACTGGCTGGTTCACACAAGAGTCAAATCTGAGGTCACCCCAGACAAGGTTTGTTGGACCTCTGGACTCACACTCAAGCCACAGAGCAAAATCACAGGATGTGTGGTCTGACCTTGGAATGTGTGTATCAGGACTAGGCCTTCTCAGTGCTGGTGCCTGTGCAGTGAACAGCATATCCAAATGCACATGGAAGACATGAAGGCTATCTCATGTAGGCCAGAAGAGGACATCAAGTGTCTCATCAGAGGATGGAAAGCAGATCAGGTTGGACAATTCTCCTGGCCAAGGTTTGACTGTAGCATGTTCCTGGGTTCGTGGGTGCACTGGAGTGGACTTTGTCAACCAATAGATCTTGGAAAGATTTTCTCAACCTTGGAGCAACAAAACCAATAGCTTTTCAGAACTATCAAGGTCAGTCAAGTAACACCCCTGGAACATTCTTCTCCACATTGGGGTCTCTAAGGTGTCATCCAATGTCCATCCCCCATCCCTGGGTGTTGATACATCAAGGAGTGGTCCCCTTCCTTTCTGCAAACACAGGAGGAAAAAAAAAGAAAGAAAAAGGCAGAAACATTTGTATTTGTCTCACCCACTTTCTTCCACACCTGACCCTCCCCATCCTAATCAGAGGTCCACATGGCCATGCATCCCTCTCAACTATATAAACAATGATAAAAATGTGACCTAATTTAATTTAGCTTAAAAGAGAG